TGCTCTGCTTATTTGACTTGTGTGACATTTTGTCCCTAAAACAATGAAACATTTCGATCAAACAAACGTGTTTTTGGCCATAATCGTCACAAGGTGACGTAGAAAATGGACAAGAATGTTCACATATGCACATTCGCTGAAGAACCATGAATCTGTGAATTGGTTCGTGATGGTTTGTCATTTTTCTTAAAAGTTGGACTCCAGAAACTCGGTTTGAGAGGAAGCTAACTGCCTCCAGCTCTGAACTTGGTGCACAGACAAGAGTTTATCGATCTACATTTCCCTCCTTAGCATCCGAATGCACCAGCAACTCTCACAATATCCTTCCCACTCACTGTTGATGTTAAACTGTCAAACATCCAACGTGAGCTGACGGGACCATTTAGGGATTACAGAGAAAATGTGTGTTTTCAACATGAACAATACTATGAAAGAGCTGAAGGAACGTTGTGTCTTTCCTTTATAGTAAACACGGAGTTAAAAACAATCAAGCGGCAGGCGGCTCACAGTGAACCTTCTTTTTATTAAGACATGTTTTTCAGGGCTTTTTGTCTCGTCAGCGTTACAGACATTCAGAGGAAACATTCTTCAAGGCGATGTGTGAAAAGCAGCGTGTGAAAGGAAGCCGGGTACATTCTCATCGACCGTTGGCTTCCAATGCGAGAGGCGGACCCTCAGCCAGAGGCACAGACACTTTGTTTTTATATTTTCTTTAAAATTATATATATATATTCTTTTCAAACACAACACCAAGCTCAGTCCATTGCATTGGTGTTTAGCGCTTAAAAGAAGGAAAAAAGGCAACTTTCGATTTACACCACAACATGTAGAAGGCCGGCATCTTTTAGACCCTCAGTGGGCCGATTCTATCTGCTTCTGTCCTCAACAAGTTCTTCTAACGAACGCCGTGGTTTGATTTATTAAATCAGGTCCAGTGGATGTAAATTCACATCAATATTCTCTTTTTAACTCGTGTTTTAATTTAATATCTAGCTTTTTAACTTTCAAATGAAGGCAAGGGAAATGTGTGTTTCTGCTTCACCTCCACGTATGACTCGCCTTCATCACTCAGTAGACACGCTTTTGGTAATTTGCAAGTGAACAGATTTCTGCTTCGATCAAAACTGGGCCAAAGTTTGGAGACGTCTATAACCCTTGTTTTAATATATTTCAATGATTATATGTCTAATAATATAGATAATAGTCATTTATGCAGTTGTAAACAATTGTTTAAATATATTAAAACAATTGTTTACAACAATTTGAGCTCACTCGGTTCACTATTATACTTAAAAATAGCAGAAACAAAGTTCTATCAGGTAAAACTGAAACTCCATACTGTGACCATGTGATAACTGAACCAACTCAAATTCCAATTGAATAAACATTTTAATAATATAATAATAATAATAATAATAATATTGCATTCTTATATTATAGATATTTTTTAAGAGAATAATCACATACAAAAAGTGTAAAAGTATATTTAGCTGAAATATCAAAGAAAATATTAAATATATATTTTTTGCTGTCTTTTCTAGAGGTCGATGAAAGTCCAACTCACGGAAAGACGATTATGTCTGCACGATCAGCACGGAGCCATGAGTCCATTAGCTTAGCTTAGCATAAAGACTGGTAGCAGGGTGGAAAGCTCAACAATCTCAACAATATGAGTTTGTATTTATATAATGTTTTGCTTTCGACAGAGCCAGGCTAGCTGTTTCTATTAGCTTCCAGTCTTTATGCTAAGCTAAGCTAATCAGATCCCAGCTTTGATGGACAGACGTGACAGTGGTACTGACGTTATCTAACTTTCGCCAAGACAATGAAAATAAACGCATTTCCCAAAATGCCAAACTAATGCTTTCAATTAAAGAAATGGCAAACCTGTCGATTGGGTTTGAATTCCCATGTTAATCAGTTTAATGAAGAGTTTGACAGTTTGGGAAAACATGTTTATTCCTGGGTTTGGAACCGGCAACATTTTGGCACAAAATTTGAACAAAGACATGCACACACATTCCCTCCAACACCTGGCCCTGTTTGAGGTCCTTGGTGGACCTTTTATATTGGGGAAGGACTGCTCCCAGAACAGCCTGATCCACACACACACACACACACACACACACACACACACACACACACACAGTGGGCTCATTAAAATGCAGCAGCAACACCTCGCTAACTCATACATTATGCAACATTCAGCCTCCACTTTCCAGGAGTGTGAAACACAGCGATGCGGTCAGAATACTGTTCAGAACTTCATTACTCATTTTAACATCTCATTCTCATTGTTATGTTTAAAATTCAAATATGAAGTGTAAAGTAAATGTACTCGCTGCTGGAGGGTGTTTGATGTGTAATAGAGCTCAGTGTGTGAGCACAGAGGGAACTGAAATGAACAGCTTTCATGTTTAAGTTAGAAATAAACAGTCCACACAGTGTTGCTTCTGAACGGCAGAGACACCGTGTTTTTGTCTTTTCTTTCCATTCAGGTTTTAAGTGTCCGAAAACACACACAGACACCTCCAGATGTGAGAAGAAGTCTTCATATTGGATCAGGATGTAGCAGAGATGGGGGGGGGCGTGCTGTTCTTGTCCCAGATAGAAGAGGACAATGAGGTGAGAAAGTGTCCCAGAGGATAAAAGACTTGAGCACGAAACACCACCGACGGCTTTCACCACAGCGGAAAAAAACTCTTGAGGTCTCGGTCCCAGATGTCGGTACTGAAAGTCAAGTCGGCAACTCCGGTACTGCAAAACCAAAATACCTTTCACAAGTTTTTTTTCTATTTTTTCTACTGAACTGAAGTACTCTCATCTCTGTCCGGCATCCTTTCATCGTTTTCTTTTGTCCCAGTGAGAGTGTTTTGTTAAAATATCAAGATTATTAGTGTAAACAAGGACTAAAGCCAAGAAGATTGTCCGCTTCTATCACAGTTCACGTTAAATCTTGATGTTTGACGTTGACCTTTCCAATCATGCATTGATTCAAAGGTATATCACACTACTTTATATTCCTAAAAAGCACCGATTTGTTATTCTGTTCAATAACAGCCTTCAGAACAGCACCGGTCACATTTCCCTTCTGTGGAAACAGAAACAGCGTTGACGTCCTTTAAACATCCCGATGTTGGAGTTTTGTCCATCTTCAAATAGTTCAAAGAAGATTTCATGCATCAAAATAAATGAGGGGGAAGAAGATGATCACAAAGAACCCCAGCAACAAATTAAAGTATGAAGTTGTTAAAAATGTAAGTAAGGACTTTTTTCATTTGAACAGTAATTCATGACTTCATTATCAAAGGAAAGTGTGATAAAACACATGACTAAATGACTCCCTCTAGTCTCTGCCTCCCTCTCTTGTATTTAGAAAGTCTCTCAAGTTCAAGTCTCAGGCATCACTGACAACTCTGTATGGCTCCATTTGTTTCACTTTGTCTCCCTCCTCCTCCTCCTCCTCCTCCTCTCCTCCAGCTATTAAAGTTCTTCTCTCTCTCATACAAAGTGTTTTTCCTTTTTCTTCATGCAGTACTTCTCTTTGTCAAGGTCAAGTTCTTCTTTTTAACACATACCTGCAAACTCATGAGGTTTTAAATGTAGCATTCTGGTGTACTCTGAGAAGAATATTAAGTGATAAGACATTTACTTTAAGCAACAAACTAATTGATTATTCAGTGATTAATCAGTATTTCAGCTCTAGTTGAACAGCTGGCTAGTTAGCTTATTTTTTTCCCCAATCAATATTATTATTATTATTATTAACCGTTATTTAGACAAAATCCATTGAGACTGAGGTCTCATTTATTTGTCATATAAAAACAAAGATAGCGAGAGTAGCGAGAACCATCGCCTGTACAAATAAAGTGATTAGTTTTCATTGAACCCTGTTACTGTATGGCTTCATATTAACTTCCACTGTTACTGTACAGCTGTTAGAATTGTGGCCTATCTTCTATTTGCAATTAATATGCATTCAATCCAGTTCAATTATGTAAATGAAAATGATAATCTACTCTGGCTAAGGTACCTTATCAAGAGTAAAATAATAGCTGTGATCTATACACACCTCTGCATTAGCAACCCGCTGAAATGAAGGTACAAGCTCCTTAACCCTCTCATTACTTCAGGGTTCTTGGGAGCAACGTGGGACTGTTGGGACTGTTAGTACACTGGCTGTGGTCATCACAGTGAACAGTGTGATGAGAGGGCATGTGAGCCCTTGTTGCTGTAGTTCATCTCCTTGGAGCAGAGGCTGCATTTAGCATACCCTGCCTTATCAATGTATTTAAAATACTGTGACAGCAGGAAGCTGTACTCAGGTCTGTTTAGACCTCCACCTTTATCCAGGCCCATCTCCACCTTTATCCAGGCCCAGCTCCACCTTTATCCAGGCCCAGCTCCACCTTTATCCAGGCCCAGCTCCACTCACATCTCAGCCCTGTGTCAAGCTGCGCTACACAACCAGCCTCCTCTCCCTGAAGCTCTTTGACCTCATCATCTCATCAGTATCTGGACCTCATGTTTCAAGTTATTCTGACCACGAAATCATCCTCATTCTACTTTTGAGTAAAAAAAAAACAACCTGCAACCAGATGCGCCAGTGTTCCGGTTTAACGTTAACGAGTGACCGCGTGAACTGAACCGGAACACGGGGGGGCTGCATGTTTCATAACGTTATGTTTTTTGTTAACGAACGTTAACTGTTCGTTAACAGCCCCCCCGTAACAGTCGACAAAGTTCCGCATGCTGTGGACGTTAACTTAACCCAGCAAGTCTGAACGGTAACGGAACATAACAGAACTTGAACTTTAACGGAGGGAAATGAAGACGGTGTAGACATCTGAACGCTGATTGGCCAAAACTCAAAGATGCTTTATTGTGAAGATCACGAAATCACCTTTTCTCCTCGTCTCACTCCAATCTGAGAAACGCTGGCTGGCCAGATGACCCCCCCCCCCAAAAAAAACTCTACGGATCTACACGATTCACGTGGATGATATATTTTGATTCAAAATGGCGAATTTTGCCGAAAAGCGACAAGTTTGCAGGTATATTAACAGTATTTTCTTGTCAGAAAAGTAGAGAATGACGCCACCCCATCAGCGCATCGTCTCAGCAGTGAAACTTGAAGATGATCAGGACGATCCTCTTGTACTCCTTCCTGAAGTTGTGGTTCAGGACGCCGTAGACGACGGCGTTGAGGCAGCTGTTGAAGTACGCCATGAAGTAACTGGCCGTGAACAGCCACTCCGGTATCGCCCGGCTCAGCCTGGAGTCCAGCGCCACCCCCAGACCGATCAGGTTCAGCGGTGCCCAGCAGACGGCGAAGAGCACGAACACCACAAACATGGTGAGAAAGTTGCGGAGGTCGTGCGGCTTGATCTTCGTCCGCGAGTCCGGCTTGACCCTCCTCCTCACCTGGATGACGAGGATCCAGATGCGCAGGTAGCAGTAGCTGACGATGCTGATCGGCAGGATGAAGTGCACCACCACCACCGTGATGGTGTACAGCGAGCTGACCGACTGGGCGAAGGTGCAGGAGTACACCCGCGGGTCATACTGCAGCGACTCCACGAACCAGTTGGGCACGATGGCGAGGATGGTGAGCGCCCACACGAGCACCACGTAGCACATGGTGTTGCTGTTGGAGAAGAGCTTGTCGTACTTGAGGCTGTGGCAGATGTAGCAGTAGCGGTTGATGGCGATGCCCGTGATGTTGAAGATGGAGCCAATGACGCTGAGGCCCATGAGGAAGCCGCTGATCTGACAGTGGATGTAGCCGGCGATCCAGCCGTCGTGGAAAATGGCGGTCAGCACCAGCGGGTAGGGATAGATGGCGACCACCAGGTCGGCAAGTGCCAGGCTCACCACGAAGGCGTTTCCTGCAGACAGAAGAGGAAGACAGACCAGTCATCAGGACGTGGAATGTAAACAGACAGATGGGAAAGGTGAGTTCCTCCCAAATATTCTTGTTTGTCCTAAAAATCAGAATCAAGTGAGGAAGTAGACATAGAGCTGTTTCATATTGCTTTTAGTCTCGTCACCACGCCCCTCCAGCCTGCCTTATTAAAGGATCGTATCAGTGTATAAATACTAAAATGCATCTATTCCACAGTAGTGAATCATAATGATCACCTGCTCTCCATGCAAACAATGGTTTCCTATAATATTCTACTTGAATCAACCCGTCAAGACTTGAAACTTGATTTAAGGTTTAGTGTTCTGATAAACTTTGTTTCTGAAGTTGCTCACTGTTATTCATCTATGCTTTGCCTCTCGGCATTTGAATGTCATGAGTTTTCAGCCATTGGCTAGATCAACGCTAGCGTCTCAATTTGCGTTCCTGTCTCCCGGGTTTCATTTTCTAACAACAAGAAACAAAAGGTTGTAAATACAATGTTTCTCGGCAGAAGATCAGTTTCTGAATGTGGGACCATACTTTTCTCTTTCTCTCTGCAGGTTGGGGTTCTTGGTGGCTGTGCTTCAACGTTTTAAAGTGGTATGTAAATGAAACTATGATTGTTGACACTTGGGACAAAGGTTGATGGTAGCGTAAAGAAGTGCTGAAAGGTCAAGTCAAATAATGTGTCAATGGACAGAAAGTTGTCAGCAATTTTGATAACCAATTGATCATTATTTAATCATTTCAGTCAATTATGTAGCAAACGTTCTTGTATCATCTTGAACCAAATATGTTTGTGTTTTGGCCTTTTGATCGGGCAGAAGAAGACTTTAATGACGTAACATTGGGCACTTTTCCCTATTTTTAATGAGTGAATGAGTGAATGAGTCCTGAAGATAATCAACAGATTCATTGATGAGGAACTCAGAAAAAACAAGTTAGTTTGCGAGTAGAACAACGTTGGATATTTTCTGGTATTTTTGTGAGAGAGACGAAAGGTTTGGAGCCAACAAATGTAAAAACAACTCGTCAAGAAAGAAGCGAGTTCTGACAGAAAAACTGAGCAGAACAACAACAAAATCAAAACAGAAACAGAAACCGGGAACATGGAACAGGACGTGATCGAAGGAGATAGAAATAGAGCAAAAACAAACTAAAAAGCAAAAAGCCAAACTCCCAGTCGGATCCCAATCCCCTTTGGTATCTGGATCATTACTCTCCAAACCTCATCCCTGCCGCTTAAATGCCCCAACCATCATTGGAGGCTAATGAAATCAACTGTCCAAAGCTGCTCCAGTTCAATAATCCGCACTCTTATTTAGGCATTTCCCACATGAAGTTCACAATGATGGACCATTCTCGTTCCCTAGGAGGATGGTAAACACTGGTTTGTATTCCAGCCACAGCGCAGGTGGGTTGGAGTTTATTCCATTTTTTTTTGGCTCAGCCAAATAGTGTATGCTTTGACAATAACAAAGTTGTGACCCAGCTGGTTTTCTGTAAAGGTCTCCCACATGGGGAAATCAAGTTTGAGGGCCTGATTTAAGGGTTTAACATTTGCCTGTCGCCCCGAGTGGATCGTGCTGCATTCCAATGAAACTCTGTCAGCGTTTTTAGCCATTGTTCAAAGCTCCCTCCATTAATCTGTCCCACGTCTGTGCAGCATTAGTATGGCAGGCTGGTATCTATTTCAGATATATTTACCCCGAACTCTACTCAAAAGAAAAGTGAACTGATTTCATTAAAGTTTAAAAAGGCCCTTCATCCAGGCAACGCCTGGTCGGTCCATCACATTGGGTTCAACAGCTATTGGAAGGATTGCCATGATGCCAATATTCACGTTCCCCACAGGATGAATCCTACTGACTCTGGCGATCCCCTGATGTCATCTTTAGCACCATCATGAAGATTACTTTTTTTTTTGTCTTTTCGTGACATGTCACAACAGTTGGTCCTTCGCCCGCCCCTCTAATGCAGACTGGCCAATCATAGCGTAGCATCATCCAGCTCTGACCAGGGTCCGACAACTATCCGTCTCTGCTCCATTGACTCTCATCAATGGTTTCAGATGGTCTTCATGTTCAGGCTGGTTTAGTGGATTTGGAGTTCGTCAAGGTTAAACGTTGTGATAGTGATACTCGTTACTCAGAGAGGTTGGAAGGAAATATACGTTTCTAAAACGTCACATTTCTACCGAAAAGCCTGCGGAGCTAACATTTGCAGAGTACGTTTACACTGTTAGCTCTTCTATGCTACGCTAGCTACTGAAGGTTTAATGAATGCTTTTCAACGATTGATGTGCTTATGTTGTGAGACAATTAGTTTGGTTTAAGACACAAATCGACTTGGTTAAGGTAAAAAACAAAAACATCATGGTTTTATGTCAACATAGTAGCGTGACAACTCAACGTGACAACGTAATGCTACAAAGTAACGCGTTAAGCAAAAACAGAAAACAGATGGAAACAGATGCATTTGCATCAACATTTGAAACACAAGGCCTTTGGATGCTCCAATCAGAAATCTTATTAACAAACTGAGCATGAAGTCTAGACACTGGAGGTGAGCTGAAACCTCCAGCGGCTCAGAGGTGTGTCTCCGCCATCTGCCGCCGCCGTAATTGATACGTTTTGGTGGAAGCGTGGGAGTGTGGTCGTTAACTCTGGCAGCGTTAATAACGCCTTGCTCCACCTCCATCTTCATTATGAAGAAGCTTCATCTTTGTTGTTCTTGATGGCAACTCCTGGTCTCCGGCGCGTCACAGAGAGCTCGTTGGGGGGGAGATCGGAGCACTGAGCACAGACAGTGTAACATGGCGGATGAGCTGCTCCCTAAATAGATATAAATGTTTTTTTCTAAGCTAAGGAAAACAAAACAATACTTCGTTTCAACATAGTTATAAATATTATATTCCAATGCTTCCAATTAATCCCCCAAAATGTTGCACACTGTTCCTTTAAACTTAAAGGTTCCCTGTGGAGTTCTTTCTGTTTGTTTACCTCTAACAGCACTAAGGCATTGTTCTTCTACAGTATGAGTGGTGACATGATACACGAGATATGCAGCGACGCTGAACATGACTTTTGTTTGTTTACAATCCTAAATGAGTGGAGTGAGTCATGTGTCGCTCTTTCAGACTTCACAGTTCTCACCAACACCTAAGCTCCCTAATGATCCATTATCACAACCAGTTATGCTAATTAGCAGGTCGATTAAAACAAATGATGAATTAATGAGCACAGATCTCTATCAGTGTGGTGTGATCTTTTGCCTCTTGAACGCACTGAGAAGTTCCAGTAGTTTCAAAGTCATCTGTTTTTTTGTCATCTGTTGAAATGCAAATTTATGCAGCAAGTCGCTGCATAAATCGAATCAGCTCATCTGTTCAGTACATGGATCAGCCCTGTGAACTCTCCTCTAGTCACACCCACACACACACACACACACACACACACACACACACAGATGCCAGCCTGGCCGAGCTTCTCCACGGAGACTTTGTTCTGAAGTGAGATGCTTCACTCTGTGTGTGTGTGTGTGTGTGTGTGTGTGTGTGTGTGTGCGTGCGTCATCCTGACGGCAGCTCTGACTGCGGCTGCTTGTACTTTGTTCAAGTACAACAGCAATCACTGCTGCCGCCCACAGACGGGTAGATATTGAGTTTGAGTGAACCTTTCGACTGACGTTTCTGGAGTATCGTAAAGAGAAGTTGGAGGTTCTGAAACTGAGGTTGGGAGTATTTAGAGGGTCATATTCAGGGCCGAGGTCATGAGTTCAAATTCCCACAAACTTTCCACAAACCAAACAAAGAAGTAGCAATAAACCTGAAGAAATTCATGTGACTAATTTATTTCCAGAGTCAGGCTCTAAGAGGGTGTGAGGTTAAAGATGAGGCAGGATTGTTGCATCTCGAATGCCTCCAGCAGCGTCCTCACCAACGCTGACAATACAAACAGACACATTTATATAACATGATAAAGCCCCCCGAGCAGCTAAAGGGAATTAGATCACAGTAAATCACAGAGAGCGTCTGAATCCTCGGGTAGGTGTGCTGCTGCAGGACGAGGTCGTGTGCAGGTGGCTGGGATCGGGTCATCCTCATCAGACGTAATGTGGTGGTGGTGGGGGGGGGGGGGGCGTCACTTCATGTCATACGCAGCAGCAGAACACATGCCTTCACCACACAGCAGACGTGTGCTGGGTTGTTAAGCTTCCTGCCACCTGTCGCTGTTGTTGTAACACCTCTCTTTTCTCTCTTCGGTCCGGAGAGTCTAACTATTGTATACAGGGCTGCACGACTATGGCTGGAAAGATAATTGGAATATTGATGTCACTTTATTTATCACAATTATTTATTGATTTTAGGGCCAAATATTTAAAGTTACTGCGAGGAGCTTTTAACTGGTTGTGTTGGAGCAGGTACAGCATTTTTTAAAAGGTGTTCGTATCTTAAAAACCCCAGAGGAGCGTTTCTTTCCCCTGCTGGTTAGCTGTGACCTTATACTCAGGCAGAGCGGTCGCCCGATGCTGAAGCTGTAGAAGTTTAATGATGTGAAATAAATACATTTCACTCCTCATATTCCCTTAAAGTCTGTAAGAAATATATATTCAGCGAGATGAAAAGGGAAAATGAACTCTGCCAGACCTCAAATTCATAATAAGACCAATAGAATCAAATGCTGCTGATACCAACATGGTCGGCCAGTTTTTCGAAACAGGCTTCACCTAAACAAAGGGGTTGGGTCCTGATGGCTGGTTCCAATATGAAAGACTGGGGGGGGGGGGGGTCTAAGGGGGTTCTAGAGGGCCATGAATCTGAGTCACCGTTCAGATCCTCCGTATGTTATGAGTCCCAACGTTTCACAGCAACTTAATATTTGTAGATTATGCAACTGATTATTATTTTCAAGATAGAAATCTATTATTTTATCTATAAATGTCAGAAAGAAGTGAAAAGTGTCATCCTGATTTTTAATATTT